AGTGACAGGAGAAAACAGGAGGATAAAGATTAGAGCAACATTTATATGGACCAGGACAAGAAAGGACAAGGAGAAAGAAATAGGGCTGCATTAGCAAACTTCTATATTGGTAATGGCCTCTAATGTTCAATAGTTTGATAGCAACAAGGGAAAGATTTCTACTATACTTAAAATTAGGCTGCTGAAATTAGGAATTTTTTTTTAGAAGAAGAAAAGTGCATATAATATTATTCTTCAGTTGAAAACATATAGTTAACCCCTTTTTAGCAGTTTTTTTTAGCAGTCATTAAGCAAAGTGGAACAGTGACTGCATTTAGTATCAGATTTGGCTTTTGTTTGCTTTACTGACTTGTGCAAGTTGTAAATGTGAGGATTGGTAGTAAAGTTCTTTTTTCATCAATGTGATAACTTCAAACAGTTGCTAAAACAGGTAGACATCAAATGTGGACCACCTGTATTAACTGCAAAATCTGATAAAAAGCAACATGTTTTTAACTATATATCCTTTTCTTAAGTTGTTTGGGATATCAAGGATTTATTATATACAAAGTAGATTTAAAAAATTTGAAGACTGTCCAGTTCTGATAATGAAGCTAGACTGCATAACGTGCAATATTTGACCAAAGCACAAATTTAAAAAGTAATTTTCCATTCTACCCACAAATCATATGAAGAGAATAACAGTAAAATGTAGCAAGAAACAGGGTTGTGTCATAGAGATGCATGGAGCCAATTAAAAAACAGAGTAACAGATCCTGATACAGATTTCATAATGCAGCAACAACTAGATCATACTGTCCAACACTAAATGGGTATTATCAGCAGCAACATCTCTAAGAGTAACACAATATCGAACTCACCTGTGGATCATATTGTGTGAATGCAGGTAGGCAAGTCCCTGCAGAGCACCATGCGTTATGGCTGCAATCTCTACTTCCTGCAGTGGTTTCTTGTGCACTAGGAAAGAAGGGATGGAGGAAAGAACATTATTTAAAGGTCTCAGGAAAGGCCTGTGGGAAGACGGGTCTCTTCAATTGGTCTTGGACTCACCTTCCAGCAAATCTGAGGCTGAGCCTAGACAGTATTCCATCACCAGCTAGTGAATTAAGAGGAAATGTTAATTCCGTTTTGTACCTGGAATTTCCAATTCACTTAAGAATATAACAACAACCCCTACTAAATCAGACCATATGCCCACCATTCTACTTGCACCAATGCCATCCAGACACCTCCAAAAACCACATGAATATAAATAGGATACCACCAAAAACAATTTTCTCCATGATTTTCAAGAAAGGAGGAGCCACTCTATTGCACTGCAATTCCCTCCCTTAAATTACATTAAGGTTTCAGGCAGAGAAGCAAAAAACCCAGTCATCGTTCAGGCCCTTTTCAAGACTTCCCCTCATCCAAAGCCCAGTTCATCTGCATTTTCACTGCGTATCTTAAATTCTTTAAAAGGCTTTCTGTAATATATCACCCCAATGGCTTAAGAATGATCTGTTTCACTCTCATCTTACCCATGCTGTATGTTCCCGTAAGTAGCAGCCTTTGTATTCAATTGTGTTTGGGTGGCGTAGCTTTTGCAAAAATTTCACCTCCTTGATAATGTCCTGCCATTTCTGGAAAACACAAGAGAGAGCCTGAGCTCCAATAGACTTCGGGTAAAGGAAAGAATATTACAAGAAGGCTAGAAAATTTGGAAAGCAGAAGTGGATTACCTAGGCCAGGAAGAGGCTAGAAGCTAATGGTCAACACAACTGTGTTAATAGTTTAAAGAAGACCAACCTCATTAGACTGCTTCCCACTGTAGGACATCTTCTTAATAGCCACCACTTCATTGTTGCGTATGTCTCGGGCCTGGGGAAGATAACGAGAGTAAACCAAAGAAGGATGATGAAAATAACTATCAGCATCCACAGTCAAGTTCAGAGAGGAACTTGGTTCCTATGCCTGGTAAAAATACAGTTCAAAAGGAGTAAATTTCACATAGCACGGTGAATCACGCATTCTTAGAGCAGAGACGCCCATGAAGCCAGAATACGTGGGACTGGCGAGTACCCGATAATCCATTTAAAGTTACAACATCTCTACTAAATCAGACCAGTTCATCTTCCCATTTCTAACCATGGCCAATCAGATTCTCCCTGAGAAAGCTATCAGCAAGATGTGGAGAAAGTTTCTCCCACTATTTCTCTTCAACATCTCATATTCAGTAGCAGGGGCCTCCTGATGGGATGGGACTCAGAAACAAAACTGATTCTACTATAAGTAAGGCTGATGGGAAAGAATTGTGTTAAATGATCTTGGCAAGGCTT